CGAGTTATCAATATCGTTGATGTCGATGAATAATGACGAACTTGCGAGGGATATTTAATTCAGTGAGTAAAATCTGCTTCAGCAAATGGATTTTGAATATTGAAGCTCGAGGCAAGAAATTAATTGCCGGTGGGAAACTGTGATTATAGTATACTCCGACATAAGCACTTCCAAATGTGTTGTGACTGTTCTCAGCTATATGCTGCGTTGCACTAAAGTGATTTTATTTGTGAAATTTAGTTAAGTTTTCTCGTATTGATTGAAGATAACTGCGACGTCTATCTAGAAGTATTAATAGGATGACAAATGAACAGATGGTCTTCGAAATGAATTTTATTACGTAAATGGGTTTTAAAAGTGTGAGTTTGAAGCTTGATAATTCCAAAAAAATGAAGGAAAATGCAATAATGGACACGATGTACAAAATCCTATTCACGTATTCATGTATACACACCTGGCGTCGCCAATACAAATGTGGAGTTCATTTTTTATTCTGGTGAATATATGAACATTTTTTTAACCGCACGTGCCCTGAATATAATTAGGTGTCAGTTTCGCTCCGTGTTATATTTATCATATAATTGTAGACTTCGATATTGTTACCGGAAGAATTGGTGAGCACATTATGAAGAGTATTTTGTATTAGCAGCTGTTCGAGTCTTCTTAACATTGTCAAAAAATGAATGTATTTTCATAGGAAATGACACATGCTTATCTGTTTTCACCTTATTTGGTTTCGTTTATTTGTAATTTTTTATTTAATAGAAATACTAAAAAGTTTTCAGAAAGACTGACATTTCATCATTCATGTCAAATTGAGTTCAAAAATAAGTTTGGGAAAAAACAAATGTGGGAAATAATACTAAAATGTAAGACATACATCGTAAAACTTAGAACTTTAAATATACAAGTCAGTGCTTTCTAAAATCGCAGCTATAACCGACATGATAAATATACCTATATTGGTGTTCTTTTGAATGATCTCACATAAATTTATAATCAGTTTTGCAGATTCTCAAATTGAGAAGCATCTCAACCGAAAGTATTTTTTTACTGGATCTTGCAATAATACATCGATACAAATGTGTTAGGTGAGGCGTGAATGAATGTGAAGTAGTACATTTGCCATGAAACATTACATTTTCTTTTGTCAAAATATATCGGTTATTCCCCTCTCGTTCACGGTTCGTCTTCAGTCAAGGAAAAGGCATGGAGATTGATATTCATTGCAAAATTGGGTACTTCTGATTAATATGGCAGATCCACCATAAATGTAGTTGGAACGTCTATAGCGGCTGTCAAAGATCTCATTCGAATCGGAGCGTGTCGGTTATTTTTCAGGTGAACGTACGTTGTTTTATTTGGTAACATTCGTTTCAGCATTTTATAGATTTACAGATAACTTTGAATCAATTCTATTGAGAACATATATTTTCTACTTTTCTTACTTTACTGTAAATAATACAAATTAGCTTATTATAAATTGTTCCAACCAATCATTGAAAATGCATAGTCTAATAACGCTAACTTAAATTACTATCAGATTTCTGTTACTATTTATGTCTGTGGGACGTTTTATACATTATTTCTCAAAAACTCATTTTACTTCTCTTATTTTTTATTTTCTCTCGATACTACGTGCATACGTAGTACAGAATAAATATTGAAATAATAATGGAAATATCAACAAATTGCGAAAGAAAAACTCATATTGCGGGGGGCCCTTCTATCGAAAAAGTAGAAATGTCGTGTTCCTACGTCTAGTAAACTGATTCCTCCACGTTCTCTTGTAATCCACGTTTTGTGGATCCGTGATTCCGAAAAATTGGTTCACGGCAAATCGTCTGTCGACGTCTGCGGTCTGCGTTGGCGCCTAAACCGTTCAGACGATTTTCTCCAAAATTGATAATCCGGAACTTGGTCAAACCCTGCTCAGACCGAACTCGAGGCAGTTTAAAGCGATATATTGATTTTAGATTTAGATTTATTTAGTCAAAAAACAGTAAAAAATGTATGTGACATATGGGGAAGAATATAAACTGCGCACGTTTTCTTGAGTTCCAGAATTCCTTCCCGTCATTTTAACTATAAATATTTGAAATATGAGTAACCGTTTAACATAAATAAATAAAAATATATTTTAAAAATAGATTTCAAAATCGCAAGATTAGCAATATTTGAAAAAATATACATTTTCGTTTCTGAGTTATAGAGAAGTTATTTGCATCGTTAACGAATTGGAAGTATGATTTTTCTGCATTGCTAACAAAATAA